CGAACTAAGTCGGCTAAACTGTTCCAAATATGAGGACCATAGAAACGAAGAGTGTTCATGTGAAGAGTTGTGCGTGAGTATGGAATGTAGAGATTAGTTCTAGAGAGTGTGTTGTGGTCATGAATTTCGTGCACAGAAGTGAAAAGGGTTGAGAAAACCTGAGCTAGAATTTTGTTGCTATGCTTAAACATAAAGATTCCCGTTTGTAATGTATTGATATCTATTAGTGTTAGTTTGTGAAGTTTAGCAAAAAGTGGTGCAGTGTGATGTCGTGGATGTGAGAGGGTACAAAGTCTAATTGCCAGCTTCTGCGTGATAATAAGGGAGTGTAACTGGTTAGTACTTGATCGTGCCCAAACAATATTACAGCAATTAAGGTGGGGAAGAATTAGTGTATTGTAAAGGGTGAAAAGAGTCATAGCGGAAAAAAAGTGTGGAGTTTGGATAGAGCACCTGTGTTGCGAGAGACGACTCTCGTAATAGAAGAAATGTGGTCTCTTCAGGTAAGATGCTTATTCAGAACAACACCAAGAAATTTGGTACTGCTGACGATCGATTCTGGAGATCCATCAATGTAAATGGATGTTGAGGAAGTGGGAAGAGAGGTTGTGGGATTATGAGGGAACATGCGTTTTGTTTTGTTTGCATTGAGAGACAGTTTATTGGTCTAAACCAAGAAGACACTTTGATGTGTTCTGTGTTGAGAAAATGAGTTAAGGATTTGGAGTCAGGGTGAGGATAGATGATAGTCGTGTCATCTGCGAACAACAGAAAGGAAAGCAAAGAGGAAGAATTTTTGAGATCATTAATGTAGGCGTATAGTAGAAAGAGAACGGGGCCAAGTATGGACCCTTGAGGCACTCCATGAGTAGTGTCACTATGACTAGAAGGTGTTTTCTTGACAACAGTGTATTGCTGTCTGTCGGTTAAATAACTCTCAAACCAGTCAAAAGAATGTCCTCGGATTCCATAATAGTTAAGTTTAGAAAGTAAAATGTTGTGGTCGATGGTATCAAATGCTTTAGAAAGATTGATAAAGATACATACAGTGAAAAGTTTGTTGCGGATAGAATAAGAAATAATATCAGTGAGATGAATCAAAGCCATGTATGTTGAGTGCTGTGGGTGAAGGCCAAATTGTTTATTGAAAATGATATTACAGGAAGACAGAAATTTCATCAGACGATTGTACACAAGTGGCTCAAGAATTTTCGAGAAAGATGGTAGAACAGAAATAGGACGATAGTTGTGAATATCCGGAGAATCGCCAGTTTTGTACACAAGTGTTACTTTGGCAATCTTTACTTTAGCAGGGACAGAGCCAGAGGAAAGAGATTGGTTGAATATGTGAGCAATAGTTTCTGCGATAAACATAATGAGAGATTTGATAACTGAGGAGTGAATGTCATCAAAACCGCAGCTAGTATCGCTCTTGAGAGATTTACCGATGTCAATGCTTTCAGCAGGAGTTGTAGGGTAAATACAAAAAGTAGAAGAGTTTTGGGCGTCTAGGTAATAACTAAAGTGAGAGTTGGTGGGTGGAGTTTTGTTAGCAAGTGAGGTGCCAATGTTAGTAAAGTAGGAGTTGAAGGACTTAGCATTCTATTTCTGGCTCCTAAATTAATAGTCCATTACGTATTTTTACAATTACAGGTACATGTATGCACCTAGTTTAGTATTACATGTAAGTCTATGCATGTGACTTGAGCAAGTCTATCATACCTCTTCTTTAAAGACAATGTATGGTTATTAAGTGGTACTCGTAGATTTTGAACGTATATTTCACGGTAACTTCTAAATCAAATAAAAAAGGACACTACTTTTATTCTTAAATAAATTAAAAAGTACTGTTCCTATTTAGAGAGTTTGTTGAAGTATTGTAGTGTGAAAAGATGATGGTACTTTCCCATTCAGTGACACTTCGTCTCTGGTGACTTGCAATAACTCCTGGTTGGAGTATGTAAAAAAATCTGGCCTTTTATGTCCGAGAATTTGATTATGAGCGAACATAAGAACATTACCAATTGTTCAGTTTATTTGTTGGTTCACTGGTGCGAGTAGAAGACTGTTTTTCAAATCCTCTAGTTAACAATAGTATGCTTTCGTTCCTTCGTATGGGACTCATCAGTTGCATTATGGGTGATTTCAGAGACGGAATCGTACGAACTCACAGGTGGTCAGGGACAGAGTTTGTGGGCAAAAAATACGCATTTTTTGTTGTTATCAGCCAGCCCGTGGATTTCGGTTTGTTTTTCAGTGAGGGAGAGCAGTACATTGAGTGTTGCGTTTTGTTTGGTCGTTCAAAGAAGCCCGGGCCTGTGAGGATTGGGTTGGGCTCTGTTATGTTCAGCGTTAGTTTAGCTCTAACTAGTTTTTCTCGGATGTTTGGGCTTTCCTGAAAGCAATGAATGGAGGTTTCGGAAGGATTTCGAAGGATAGAGCATTGCTTTGAATGAGGTGCCCATGTCTATTTATTGTTTGATATGCGTCACGGTGGTAAAGATCAAGTTGGGCTGGAGATGGTAACGAAGACTTGTTTGTTATGGTTTGCGGGGTTCGTTGTGTCCTTTGTGTTATTTATTAGCTTTGGTGTTTGGCATGAATTTGGTGGCATCCAAGTATTCTTCTAGTGTTGCACTAGGTGTTGATTTTGGATGCTGGATTTATGGAGGTCTGAAAGGACGGATTTTAGATCGTTTTTAGTGCATTTGGAATGCAAGACTTAGTCTTCGATTGGTGCCTCAATTAAGACACGTGAAATGATAGTAAGGAACACTTAGTCTTCGATTGGTGCAGTTTGGTTTAGTGGGGATGGGATAAATTTGAGACCTTTTCCTTAAGTGGTCTTTTTGGTTAGTGTTAGTGCCGCTTCGGATAGGTCGGTCATATATGTGTCATGTTGTTCCGCTAATAAATATATCTGGTTGGATTTGGTAGTCTTGGCTTTTGTGCATGTTGTGAAGAAACTGTTCTTTTTCCGTTGACTTTGTCTTCTTCCGTTGAATTTGTTTTCTCATGGTCACTGCTTTGGTTTGGTTTGGGAGTGAAAAGGATTATTGTTCATGGTTGTATTCCTCAATTAAGACATGTGAAACGATAGTAAGGAACACATCAGGGTTTTCTTTGTGATATTCGTCAATTGAAATTATGTATGGTAGGAGTGGCTGGATATATCTCTTTGGAGGATGTGATGGTCTTCGGATCTTTTAGTAAGGGTGCCTCCTCTATCTTCAGTCCTCTTGACGAGTGGAGTAATCGAATGCGTTTCGCCATTCGTTTATGCAGTTTCCTCGACCGTTCGAAGAATCAACTCTGGAGCTTGAGTGAGGGATGTGGCCAAGGTGGACGTACTCTGATCTCAGTGTAGTTTGGCGGTGTTTTGGTCGCAATTGCCTTTGATAGGAGATGTGTTTGTTGGGTGGTGTGGTTCTTGACAGAGACCAGTCGGTTCGGACTTTTTGTGCCAGATTCTTTACCCACTGGACATGCGTGTAAGTTATGCGGTGGGAGACTCGTTCTGTGTTGATAGGTGTTTCAGGGGACGGCTGGTCCTGTGAAAGAAGAATAGAATCTTGGTCACGGGAGGCGTCTTGGCGTTGTCTGTTGCTATGTTGATGCTACAGATGATGTTTAAACCAGAGCTGGGTAAAAATGGTGGTGTTAAGCGGCTGACTTTGTTCTTGTTCGACGATTTACTAAGTTTAGACATTTTGTCCGCTCAACTTCTGTCATAGAAGTGGGAATACCTCAAACCAAAATGGTTTTAAATTTTCATTTTGTTTTATCCCACCAAGTGAATGTTCAAAGTTATTCAATTTACATGTTTTGTTCATAATTTCTCTTTATTTAATTTTGATCTACAACTGTTATTGGACCTGACAAATGGGTTTTATGAGAATGAGATTTTCCGGCACAACACTGTACCCCAAGACATCGGTTTCAAGCTCAGCGACATCCGGCGCCCCCTACTAGCACCGAAGCAGACACCCGCTCCCGGGCAGCAGGGTCCTCTATACCCGAAACCCATACCCAATACCCAGGTGTTAGGGTCTTCTCTACCCAAACCCGTGAATCCTGTTCCACGCTCCTTCCGCTTCCAGATTACCTTTATAACCAGCTATCCACTCCATTCCGGCACACTCTACCGAGGACAGCCAGAGCACACTAGCCGAAACGTCAAGTTTATACTCACCGGTTCTTTTAAGAACAACACCTCGTCCAAAAGAGATTGATTCAATGTTGTACCCGCAAACCCATTTCTCATGTTTCAACCACCTTGCAAAGCTTCAAATCTTACTTGTTATTGGACCACAATTTTCATTTGAAACTAGTCAGAATTATATCACCATTTACATACATTTCCCAACTACCCACGAGGTACATTCCCGTCTGAACCAAAGAGGCACTGTTTTTTCAAATCTGCTACTTGGGAGCCATACTGGAGGCCATTTTCCATGTGATCAATGGTAGGAAAGCAAAGGATGCTAACAACAAAATAAGGATTGAAAACATGCACCAAATTCTTTAATGTGTGTAAAATGGATAACTTACCACAATTATGGCTGAAATTTATGGATTTATCATTGGCGTCTATATTGGTGATCCTTACAGCCCCTATCTTGAATGTGAAGCATATTGGCAAACGAAAATCACCAAAAATCAGTTTTTGAGAGCACAGAACATGTAAATAAAAATTTTATTTGTGATTTAGGGTATAACTTGTCTGATATAATGCCTTTCCCATTTTGAACCATGTTTGGTGGCCATTTCCGCAGCCATCTTGGATATCCTAAGAGTATCGGTCTTTTTCCAATGTTAACATCTAAAAGGTGTTACAGGACCTTAAAATGCACCTAAGAATATTGATGTCGTTAAGTTGGGGGGGGGGTGCACGGGGCCCCTATATGTAATAAACTACAATGTCTGATGCTCTGATTTTACCAATGGTTTGCATTGTGCTGGTGTCAAAGTGGCAGGAGGGCTGTCATTAATAAGGAAACTAAGGTACCCAATAAGGCATCTGCACCGACAAGCAAACTGTCGAGGTCATTTTAAAAAGTACTCGTCTTGGTTATAGACTGAAAACGATAAATCATTGATCTAAATGTGACAAACAGCCTTGTTCAAATGGGTCATCTGCATCACCTTGTGAAACTTCATCATGAAAAAGTATGTGTCATATACCTAAAAGGGAATTATGTGGACATTAGCCGTAGGCAAAGGGCCGATGTCAAATTTGTCCATATCATGAAACAGAATAATGAGCATATAAAACACCACGGGCGATTACTTTTGTTTGAACATCCATGGACCTGTTCAGTGGCTGCTCCTACGAAATGTGCACAAGAAACTTGATTTGCCATATTAATTTAACCGACCAACCACTGCTTCCGGCACATTAACAAAATGTAATACTCGATACTTTGTTGCGCAATATAACTCTATTTTATTCTTACGTTACATTCACGTCTTATTTGAACAGCTCTTGATCAGACCTATGTAATTCATTATCATCCTTGTGTATGAGTGGCCTGGCTTTTATTTTTTTTCCGAATAGATATGAAACCCATACGGAAAGGGGCACGTCACTTCCGGATCACTTCAGTTTTTCCTTTCCCAAATATTCCTGGCTCACCTTAAAGCAGAAAACGTCATTACAATGTTTGATATGTTAGATGCAAGCCCGATGGCTGCATCTTTTTTTAAAAATTGGTTTCAAATGTTTTTCGAACCCACGAGATGCACCAACGTTCAAAAAAAAAATTCGCTTGAGCTTCAGTTTCTTGAGAAAACAGAATTAAACGTAGAATTACCGAGACATATTTTTCTTGATATCATTGCGTGTTCTCTCTATACCCTTGCGTCTGTAAAATTGTTACTACGTTCAAAAGTCTTGAAACTGTGGTAATCCAAATGAAAGTTTCAAGACTTCAAGAATGCGTGCAAATCAACTAACACTTGTCCTTGGTGTAGCTGATGAGACTTCGGTTGAAGGTAGACCGCTTGTCGGCGAAACACTGCGCTCCGATGCGGTCGCATTCACATATGAAGGCTTTGCATTTCTTTCTTATGGTGAATCGCGAGTAGTCGGATTCTAGCTCTGTAAAATAACAAAAGTGAATATTAGCATCTGGACAAGTTAGACAGTTACTCTGTCCCGTTTACACTTGTGTGAACATGTCTGGAACTAGCCCCACACGCGAGCTGTGAATGGCTCTCTGTTGACATTTCTATCTTACACTGTTGCAATCACAGCCACATTTCAATACAGGACGTTTACGCCTGAAATATAAATGGCAAAAGAGAGCCATTAACGGCCTTACATGTGGGTATAAAGACAAAGTTCAAACTATAGGTTTTGTCTGTTTTAAGCACAGAACAAAGGGCTTTTCGCATTTTCCATTAAATGTATTAAGAAAACTGATTGTACATTTGAGATTCTAGCACATTTCCATTTCTCACTTTTTGCTAACAGATCGACCCCAGAGCTACAAATATTGACAAGAAATAATTCAAGCATTCGGTGAGGTCATAATGACGAGATCCAGAAACCCTGTTGGACCGAAGATATGGAGAATAAAGCCCTTTACACCACTTCACTTTGTCTGAACACTTCCATTTCTCGCTACCTACCAAATTTCAACCCAATAGGACATGTACATCACAAGATATAGGGCTCTAAGAAATGTACTTTCAATGTCACGTGTTTTTTACCGGAGAACGTCATCTTCATATGTGGTCAATATTTGCCGAAGTCACTTTCCTTTCAAGATATAAGCAAGGTTTGAACACAATACGACTTACAGGAGATATAGTGCATTGTGCGTTACACCTTTGATATACCTGACCTCCATGTATTACCTGATGGCGCCATCATCACATTACATCTGGTCAATATCCGTCTTAATTACTTCCCTTTCAAGATCTCAAGATTTCAATCTTCGACTACAACGCTTCTTTTTGTTATCTGCAAAGTTTCAACTTGATTGGATATGTACTTCAGGAGATAGAGGGCTTTAAACAGTGAAGTTTTTAGGTTCACATGACTTGTCACCTGATGAAGTCATTATCACATGAGGTCCATATTTGAATAAAGCACGTCCTTTCCAAGATATCGGCAAGGTTTCAACAAAATCAGACATGCACTTCAAGAGATATAGCACTTGGAAAAATCACCTTTAATGTCACGTGACTTGTCACAAGATGACGTCATCATAACATCAAGTCATTTTTTTACTGTGATATCATGCATACAGATGTTTTTGTACACCAAATAATAGTGAGTTCGCACACTAAGGAAGATTGCACGAATTCAAGTCAAGTACTGTTCCTTGTCATATTCTGGGCATCAAACTCTCTGTGGAATACCATCTCACGTCCAGAACAAAAAGCTTGGAAGCACACGGAGGGTGCTATCAAGGATCCAGAGTCTGACTTAAATGTGTCATAGGTCTTGTTATGTATAAACAGGAGCAAAACATTTCTGCCTGACACCTCGAAGGTTTCTGCATCCTTCAAAAAAGGGCAATACAAGTGGCAGGTCTCTTGAAAAATCCGGTAGTTACTTTAATTACAGATTTGTTTGTATGCTAATGGTATACTACCCCTATTTGATTTAATGTTTTTGACATTGTAAACATGCAAAGGTTTTTTGTGAATTTTGAGTTGAAACGGTTTAACTACTTAAGATTGAATAAACACACTTGTATTTAAAAATTCATACAATCCACGTTATGTGCTGAAGTGAAGTTAGTCAATTTCTGACAGACAGCAGAAATGAACTTCCAAATTGCCTTTAATTTGCTTTATTTTATTTTTGCTGCATTCACATTATTCGTAAAAACTTTAGAGTGTAATCAATTAAGACATATACAGAGTCGAATTTACTGAAACCGAAAGAGGGAAAGATGAGAGGTAGGACTGCATGTATAACCAATATTAATTCACACGTGACACACATAGTGGCAGGTCTCATGAAAAATCAATGTTGTCTTAAATTTTTCATCTGTGTACTGTACGTCAGTGTTTTATTTGTAAATATTCTTGTACATGTATTGCAGTAATGATAAAATATGCCTGGTTTTAGGCTTATTAGGACATCACAATGTTTGTCCTTTTTTATTTTTACACAGATTTCTCTTTAAAAAATGCGAGTTGAACTTATCGCCTAGGCTGGACAGGGTTTATTGAATTTGCAGCGAAGGCAATGTAACTGCACCACGTTAAATTAACGTTAGTGCTTGACAACTGTTTGTGTTCTTGTATTATAGTGAGTGGGCCTACAGTAACCTGAGGCTGAATTATCTTACACTGGTTGCTGTAAAATGTCATAATGTGTTAACCGACTGTCCCCCAGTCAAAGGTGGCACTAAGTTTCCTACGTTGAGCCTGGGCTTACCAAACAAACGTCTAAATATGCATGTACGAAAAACTGGGCTTGTTCTTGTTCTTCAAAAACGGCACCATGGGCACGGAGCTAAGCAAGCTTAGGACTAGACTAGGCCTGTGTTAAATACACACGAAGAAAACCGTGACACATTAACAGCTTGAGCGGAAAAGAACAAGGAACAAAATATTAAATATAATTCATAAATTACCTCTTTTATTTTGGGGGAAAAAAAGACAATTCTGGGCGTTTGCAGTGCCTATTGCTGCATTGAGGTGCCGGACAGTGGGTAGAGAATGACGAATTTCACCTGCTGACATATGCTATTGACACATCCGGGAACTTTTGAAAACTTTGCTTACTCGAATGGCCGCCGCAGCATCACGTAGTCGATTACACTTTCTGGCGGTCAGTGATCCATCTTGCGCCGCTGCGCGGCGATATATTATCATTGCTATTAGCACTTTAAACCAATAGCCCACTTCTGATTTGGACCGGAAGGAAGGGTCAAGTGATTTGACCCACAAGAGAGGAATTGAAGACCCAATTTTATTCTGCCACTTGCCGCAAAAAAGAGTGTTATGGGAGGCTACGGTTGATTTTAACAACATTCAAAGTTTAATAATAACTCACATGATTAATAGCTCACGTAATTATTTTTAGTACTATCTTTGGTTCGTTGTTTTTCCTTGGTGTAAATTTCATGACATTTGAATATTGCTGAACAATCAAAATGTTGCCTTAAAAACTTGTACAAATTCCAATGGATGAAGAAAATATTGAAAAATCAACTAAAGAGAAATCACTTGATGATGTCATCATGGCGTCATTTTCAAGGACCATCCGTGCATCAGGGTCCCTCAGTGGTACAAGTTTGATGAGGATCCAAGGCTGGAAAAGCACCAAAGTCGTGTACAGAATAAACTTGTACAAAACAAATGGACTTTTGAGCAGAAGAAGGGGAAGAACTAGACGTGCTGATTGTCCAAGGACAATGCAAGCGGCTTTTTTGCGTTTTATATTTGAAAAGATTATACTTTGATTTGTTCATCAGGTCAACTGCAATTTGAGTTGAACGATACTTCTGTATTTGTTATTTATTGGCAACAACACGTAACTGTTCTCTTGTATATCATCAGTTCGAGATGTTACTTTAATTTTGTTTTATGATTTACTTCAGGAGATATAGGGCTGTAAGGAGAGCACAGTAATATCACATGACTTGACTCCTGCTTAGGTCATCATTACATCAGGTCATTTTTTTTCTAAAACACTCTCCCTCTGAGATATCTGCAAGGTTTGAACCCAATCGGACATGCACTTCGCGAGATATAGTGCTTTAAAGAGTGCACCTGTATTGTCACGTGACTAGTCACCTGATGACGTCAATTGTCTAAATCATTTCTGTTACCGAGTATCTGCAAGGTTTGAGCCCACAGCCTAGCACGCACTGTCTACCGCAAGCCCACCCACATGGACAGGTATCTCCACAATACGTCCTTCCACCACCCCAAGATAAAGTCATCCGTCATC